GTGTGTCTGTGTGTGTCTGTGTGTGTCGCTGTGTCTGTCTGTCTCTGTGTGTGTCTCTGTGTCTTGTGTGTGTGTACATTGTGTCTGGGTCTGTGTGTGTGTGTGTGTGTGTCATTGTGACCATGTGTGCGTGTACAGTGTGTGTGTAGATTGTGTCTGTGTCTGTGTCGCTGTGTGTGTTTGTGTCGCTGTGTGTGTGTGTGTCTCTGTGTCTCTGTGTCTGTTTGTGAGTGTTTGTATCTCTGTGTGTGTGTGTGTGTGTGCTGCAGCAGAGGGAGGATACAGGGACGTGCAGGGAGAGCAGTAATGAGGATCTGGTTCAGGACCTGCTGCCACTTGGTGTTTTTCTAGACACACTAAATCCTTGGCTGCTCAGCTGAGACAGACTGGACTGTGGGTGAACTCCCAGCAATCCATCTGCCTTTGGCACTTGTGTCATTTAACCTTTTCTTTCTGAACTGTGGGACAGTAACAGGAGCATCCTGTGGGAGCAGGATCAGTGTGTGCTGTGTTCTGCTGGCCCTCTGAGGAGGAGCTGACACTGTGACACCTGGGGGAGGGTGGTGGATGAGCACTGACCCTTTCTTTATTTTGCCTTCTAACACTGCATTCTGCAGGAGTGTTCCTAGTGTTCTGACACTTTGTTGCAGTCACCACGTTTCACGTGAGAGAATTAAATGGGATTCCTGTTACTGCCAATTAGCAAACTGGTTTTTAACGGTTGGGAAAAATGCAAGAGTCTTTTCAGGTTGTGGCACTGCCTTGGCAGTGCCCTGAGTTCTGTTGAATTAAGGAATGAAAGAGCTGATCCCCAGTCTCCTGTAGTACAAACTGCTGCAGTAGGCCACATTCTGACTTGGAAAAGTTATATGAATTCTACATATTTTTTTATGTTCCATAGAATTCAATACGTCACAATCTCTCTCTGAATCGTTATTTCATCAAAGTACCACGTTCCCAGGAAGAACCAGGCAAAGGCTCATTCTGGAGGATAGACCCTGCCTCTGAAAGCAAATTAATAGAGCAGGCTTTTAGGAAAAGGCGGCCTAGGGGAGTACCTTGCTTTAGAACCCCTCTGGGACCACTCTCTTCTAGGTAAGGAAAACAGATGAACAAAAAGACTATGGCTGTTGTTTAATCTTCAGGCTGATACAAGACTTGCTAGTTTTGGATACAGTCGCAAGTTTAGTAATTTAATTTCATCCAGACTCAGTGTGTGAATTCTGTGTGATTCCCTAGGAGGCTGCCCCATGCCAAGCACCAGGTGTGTGTTCACTGCTTGGTTTTAGTGCTAAAGAACTCTGTTTGCATAACTTAACTGTCAGAGTGTCAATGTGAGCAAGCCCTGCTGTACCCTCGGTGCGTTTGGCACAATTGTAATGCTAATTTCTATCTGCCATCTACTGGGTTTTAAAACCGTTTGCAAAGAAATTTCTCAGCTACCATTTTATTGACCTTAGAGATGACAACTGTGTTTTCAGTTTGATAATGGTCAAGCAGAATTCATGATGGGGAAATTCTGGGGTTGAAATTATTCCCTCTGTAAAGTTATGGCCTTTCTGCTGGTGCAGATCTGTTACTCCTTGCCCTGTGGCCTGAGATTTGCTCATCGTTCTTCTCCACCAGAAGAAACGTTGATGTTTCACGGATTGTTTAGAGCCTAAGAAGGCATCCAGCCACTTCTTCTGTGTTAACTGTACCTGGAGTTTGCTTTTAAATCCTGTCCCTGTTTAACAGAAGCTTTTTAAAAGATCCTGAGCTCTGGGTGGTGACTGTGCTAGGTGCCCTCCTGTGGGCAGCCTCTTACAGTCTCTTTAGAGAAGGTCACGCTTCAGAAGTTAAAACACATCAGCTGCTGCTTTCATTTCTAACTACAGAAGTGCCCCAGCTTCTCCTAATCACTCTGGAGTGTTGTCTGCACACTCCAGTGGTGTCCAGACCCCCGAGAGCCTGTCCAGGGAAGGATCACCCGTCCCCATGGAGCCTGAGCCCAGTGCTATCCAGCCAAAACTTGCCGTCATACAAGAAGCACGATTTGCACAGAGTGCCCCAGGTGAGGGGCCCTGAGTGGGCCTGGGGGGTGGAGGAGGGAGAGGGCTGGTGCATAAACACTGCCAGGACTCCACAGGTACACCAGAAAGGGTGTCTCTTTATCCTCTTCACGTTCAGAGCCAATCTGTGAGAAACACAAACAGGCCAGGGAGGTTGTGTTTGCGGACGTAGGGCTGTTACCTGGGGCTGCTCCAGCACCCTGGTCATATGCTTGCTAAGGAGAGATTGTGCCTCTGTCTTGTAACAGTTGTCACTTGCTTCCAGAGCCTGTTCTCTCTGGTTTAGAAAAAAAAAACCCCAAAATGTAAGGTAGCATGAGTTCCAGCAATAAGGAGATGCTTCTCACGCCTCTCTGGTTGTGTCATCCTTTCAAAGTGAGGGATAAAAGAATTGGAAGGGTAAAGAGAAAATGCATGAATGTGTATGATAAGAAATGTCCTATTTAAAACAAAAAGAGTGCAAAGCATGATGGGGTAAGGATGTACTTGTTTAATTCATTTATATATGTTTGCTGTCCATTTTCTTAGTGATGTTTGGCACTGCAGAAGTGCCAGTGACATGGCCCTGGGCAGACACTGGGAGTTCTCAGCCTGGTTCAGAGAGAGCATTGCCAGTGCTCCATGCAGCTCCTGGAGCACACACATGTTCCCATCAATGGAAAGGGGCTTGCTAAATGAGTGCTAAGCACAGCTTTGTCAGTGTAGCTGCACTGGGGGAGAGGTGGAAAGTGTCCAGATGGGAATATGGATCCAACCCTTACCTCGAGTCTGTGGCTGGGAATGACCATAATCTTCATTGTCCAGTATTGCCTTTTGGCTCATTCAGGCATTAATGAAGGAGGTTGTTAATCCTTTTAGTGTTAAGTTTAAAGAATGACTGGCTAAAAAAAAAAAAAAAAAAAAAAGAAACTTGGCAGCCTAATTTTGTTCTCTTTCTTGGTAGGATCACCTCTCTCTAGCCAACCAGTTTTAATTACTGTACAACGGCAGCTACCACAAACTATTAAACCTGTCACCTACACTGTTGCAACTCCTGTGACAACATCAACCTCCCAGCAGCCTGTAGTTCAGACAGTTCATGTTGTCCACCAGATCCCAGCTGTGTCAGTCACCAATGTGACTGGATTAGCACCAGCAAACACTTACACTGTCGCTGGGCAGGCAGTCGTCACGCAAGCGGCGATGGTCACCCAGCCCAAGGTAGAACCTCAAGAGAATGGAGACCACAAGGAAGTCAAAGGTGAGAACCTGTGGGATTAGTTGTTTTGGGACCTCTTTATACAGAGGGGTCAGTATTTGCAACTTACTTAGAATCATAGAACCACAGAATGGTTTGGGCTGGAAGGGACCGTAAGGCTCATCTTGTTCCAACTTCCACTTTGCCCAGGGAGGCTGTGGCTGCCCCGACCCTGGCAGTGTTCAAGGCCAGGCTGGATGAGCCTTGAGCAACCTGATCTAGTGAGGAGGTGTCCCTGCCCAGGGCAGGGGTTGGCACTGGATGATCTGTAAGGTCCATTCCAACCCCTAAATTCTATGATTCTATAGCTCAGGTTGCTGCAAACTCCGTCCAGCCTGTCACTGAACACTTCCAGGGATTGGGCATCAGTGCTTCCAGGTGAATGCTTGAAATGTTTGGCTAAAACTGCAGATTTTGCATCATAATTTCTCAGATATTAGAGCGAGCAATGAAACAACAGATAGACTTTTCTCACTGTGCGTTGATCGAGTTCAACCAAATGGTTCTTTTAACACTTCTCTGTTTGTAACCACCTTTTCTCTCCTGTTTTCCAGTGAAAGTGGAGCCTCTCCCTGCTATTAGCCATGCTGCAATAGGAGCTGCTAGTCGTATCATCCAGACATCTCAGCCCACCCCCCTGCAGACAGTGACGATAGTGCAACAGGCGCCGCTGGGGCAGCACCAGCTCCCCATCAAAACTGTGACGCAGAACGGGACGCACATAGTGCCCATCAGCACTGCCATGCAGGGGCAGGGCAGCGCCGGTACGTGGGGGCTCAGCAGGGCAGGGATGGCTGCTGGGTGCTCTCCTCGTGTCTCTCATGCTTACACTGAGAGCTAAGCTCTTCAGGAAACTTCCAACCCCATACGGAATCATTCTCTCCTTGCTGATGAGAACCAGAGTTTCTCTTCGTTGGGGATTACCTGAACCTTTATTTTCTTCGTGGTCATTATAGGGATGTTGTTGACCTTCTGTGATGATTTTATGTCCTTAGTGGTGATATCCTCCCTCTTCATGCATCACAGAACCAGTGAGGTTGGAAGGGACCACAGTGGGTCATCTGGTCCAACCTCCCTACTCGAGCAGGGCCACGCTAGAGCACATGGCTCAGGGTTGTGTCCAGAAACTCAGACAGAAATAAGTTTTAAAAGAAGTTCCTGTAAAACAGCCATTAAAATGGTATCTGCTCCCCAGGTGATTTGTTGGGAACACACCAACAGGACAACCAGAACTTGCTCATGGGTTTGCAGTCTGAACTGTTACTCTTTTAGTCTGATTTTATTGAGGCTGTACTAAAAATGACCAAAGTCTGTAAGATTTTAAGAGGATTCTTGTGTGAATCCCATCATTCCCCTCTGGCACTCTGCAGGCTGAGCAGGCAGCAGTGCTTTGTCATCATGTCACACTTGCTCACAGCACTGAAGGCTTTGGTGTGCTCTGCCTGTGCACACAGCTTGTTCTGACAGCTTCGCTCTGAGATGGTACCTGATACTGAAGGAGCTTTTTTTTATATAAAATATGTTTACAGAAATAGTTTTAGGGCTATCTTCTATCAATTTATTGCCTGCATTTCTGCTCTAAGGTCTTTCTAATGGAGAGAATTATCTGCTTCATTTCCTTTTTACTCCACTGCCATCACTGACATTTGTAGGTCAATGTTCTGGCTGCTGCCACTTCACTTCCAGCTTAAGAGCAGCAAAAGCAATCACTGTCAGACTTGAGGTGCACTTTGTGTCAGAGGGGCTGTGTGAATCAAACCATGAGCCATGTGAAATACACTAAAAAGATATTTTTAAATGTGAGAAATAAGTCCTTTTGTCTTTTTCCTGGGTTCTGAAAGTTGAGCTGGTTTCAGCACGTTCTCCTTGGCAGAAGCTGGTGGCTGCATGCAGGAGGAGAGTTGTGGTGCTTCCCACTGTCACTGTGTGTGACAGGGATGTGCTGCAGCAGGGGGAGTTGTCACTCTGTGATCCCTGGGCTTAAATACCTCCTGAGGTGTTCACACTGTACGCAGCAAGTGAGGTTACTCCAGGTCCTGTTCTCTCTCTTACAGTAACTCCTAAACCAGCAAGAAACCAGGTAATTTTCAGGCAAAGTATCCAAAGAGGGAGCCAGGCCCACAGAAACACAGATTTGTGTTTGTCTGCATGAGTCTGTGTTAGCATGCACAGGTCTATATTTACACACACATTTGTGTGTGTGTGTTTGGGGAAGGATTTGTGCCATCTGAAAGAAAAGAAATCCAGAACAACTCTCCATTTTCTGTGTGTAGTAAGCAGGTGCTTTCAGATCCTGCTCTCAGCAAAACAGCTTGGCAGTGCTCCCTGCTACCTGTCAGTCAGCTGAAGGCTGTGAGGTCCAAAAGAAACTCAGGTTTCTTACTGCACAATGAAATTATGCAACTAGATATTCTTCATAGAATCACAAAATATCCTAAGTTGGAAGGGACCCACAAGGATCACTGATCCAACTCCAGGCCCTGCCCAGGACACCCCAACACTGCACCCTGTGCCTGAGAGCATTGGCCAAACACTCCTGGAGCTCTGTCAGCCTTGGGGCTGTGACCACTGCCCTGGGGAGCTGTTCAGTGCCCAAACACCTCTGGGGGAAGAACCTTTGCCTAATATCTAATCTAAACCTCGCCTGACACAGCTCTAGCTGTTCCCTAGTAATCTGCCACTTGTCACCAGAGAGCAGAGGTTGGTGCTGCCCCTTCACTGCCCCTGAGGAAGCTGTGGCTGCAGCCAGGGAGGTCTCAGCTACTCATCAGAGCTCAGAGTGAACAGTCACAGAATCACAGACTGGTTTGGGTTGGGAGGGACATTGAAGCTCCTCTTGTTCCACCCCCTGCCATGGGAAGAGTTGGTTAGAGCAATGCAGTGATAGTCTTAGTGCATGTTTGAAGGTGAGGGATGAACTTCTTGGATTTTTTTAAGCAACAATCAAGTTGCAGTAAGACCTTTATTCCGAAGTAACATCTCTCAGGCTCCTGTTTGGAAATTCTCCAAGGAATAGCTTTTCTAATGGGAGCTGAATGCCTGCTGAGATACAGGGACAAGTTGTTTTCCAGCTTGGTTCGTGCAGAGGTGATATTCAGGTGTTCTCTTGCAACAGATTTCAAGGTTAGGAAGTTAGAACTTCTCGTGGACTTGATGTTTAAGCTCTACTATCAAGGAGTGCACTGGTAGTGTCAGGGAAGTGGTGCTGAGGGAAGGGAGCAGGAAAAGCAGGTGGTTTGATAATGCGTAGGTAAAGTTTCAGGAAATACAATGATGAGTAAACCTGTAATTAGTATTTTGCATTCTTTGCAAAGACATTTGGGTGGTTGGTGTAACACAGTCAGGGTGATCCTGGGGCATGGGATGCTCCTGGGCAGAGGGAACAACCTCTGCAGGTGTCAAGGTTTAAAGGCCTCTACTCACCCATTGGTGGTGGCTTGTACTGGAAGGAGAAAGATGAAAATCTTGCCTAGGATATTTGAACTGTGTCAGTTTCTGTCCCTCCAATGCTGTTGTGCACATGAGTGTAATCAGTGGGTCCTTTCTGACCACTGGTGCTTGTTTCAGCCCTGCCCTCTCCTCATGTGGCGAAGGCCTCGTTACCCACTGCAGGGGAACTGCTGCTCCTGTCGTGTGCATCTCTGAGGTGGCACTGGGATGTGCTGCCCAGGGAGGTGGTGGGTTCACCATCCCTGGAGGTTTTCAAGCTGAGACTGGATGTGGCACTTAGTGCCATGGTCTAGTAACCATGGTAGGGTTGGGCTTGTCAATGTCTTTTCCAACCCCATTGGTTCTGTGATTCTATGATCTCCTGGCTCTGTGCATTCCAGAGCTTTCCTGCAGGAGCTCTGTGTGTCTGGCACAGTTCTCCTTCCAGGCCATGTCATGATCTGCAGCGATCTGAGACACGGCCAGAACTTACCAAAGGGGATTGTGAATCCTCCTCCCAGTTCTGTCCCAAATTACAGTATCGATTGACTTTCAGTCACTGAATCCTTCCCTGTCTTCAGCTCCCTAGTGATTACAGTATCGATTGACTTTCAGTCAAGGATTCAGTAATCCTTCCCTGTCTTCAGCTCCCTAGTGCCTAAATGGAGCTGCTTCCCTGTTCTCCCACTTGTGTCCAAAGCTGTGTGAACGCCGAGTGATTTGGGAAATGTCCTTCAGGTTTGTGCAGAGATTAGCCACCCACCCCGAGCTGGTTTGCCCACAGCCCTCATGGGACCAGCAGCAGAACTGGTCATTCAGTGACACTGCAGCTTTGCTCTCCATGTCCTCTGCTTTGGCAAGGATCAGGTGCTGAAGTTGTTCTCTCTTTTCCAGCTGCTGCAAGTCCTTTGCACATGTTAGCGACCCACGCGTCGGCGTCAGCATCGCTCCCGACCAAGCGGCAGAACGGAGACCAGTCGGAACAGCAGGAACTCAAACGTATCAAAACAGAGGATGGAGAGAGCATAGTCATAGCTGTGAACGTGGACACCCCACCCGTGGCAGTGAGTGACAAAGGCAGCCAGAACTAGAAACTTAGGGGGGAGTTTTCTTTTTTTTTCTCTCTCTCTTTTTTTTTTTTTTAAAAAAAAAAAACACAAACAAACAAACCAACTCTGTGGTGCCAAAAGGAGACACTTAAATCTTAACACCTAAAAACGTTGGAACATGTTCTCACGCAGTGGGGAAAGGGGCCCTGTGATCAGACTTCAACTTTCAGCACTGAAACAAAACCCAACACAGGTGGCCTTAAACCTTGGTAATTTAAAGTCAGACTGCAGAACCTCGTTGTTGTTGTTGTTGTTGTGGAGGCTGTGACCCCTCTCCTCCCCCCCCACCGCCTGTGTGCGCTGACAAGGCCAGTGCTGGGGAGGCTGCAGCTTTCCTGGGATCTCCGGGAGGATTCCAGGCCTGAGGATCTCTGAAGGCAGCACGACATAGCGCTTAGTGTGACTGGTTTCAAACGATTGTATATTCCTCAAAGGGAACAGAGGCAGGAGCCATTCCGACACCGTGGCAGCTAAGCCTTTCCGAACCACCCACCCATGCAGTTGTTGGTAGATATGCAGTATTTTGTTGTTCACATGTGGAATTAGAGAAAATTTTTTGAGGTGTATTTTCATTTCTTTGCAAAACAATGGGGTCTTTGACATTTCAAATCACTCCATTTCTACTCCGGAACCTTTGGAATCACACAACTACTTTTCATGTGAAATTTTGTTTGGTTAAAAAAACCCACAAAAACAAAAACAAAAACTGAATGTAGGGTTTCTTTTTTTTTTTAAAACCAACGGAATGATTTACTTTTGTCTGTCCTGTTCCAGTTCAGATAAAGCTACTTTATTACATCTGCAAATTTTCATATTTTAGCAGTTGCCTGATAAATTTAATCAAATTTTATTACCATGTGTAGTGATCAAATGCTTCTTTGGGCTTGCATGTAACTGATTAGAAACTCTGATGTAAATGAGCCGTTAACTGACGTAAAGAACTGCTATGGATTGACCAGAGCTGCACTTACCTGTTTCTCTCTCTGCTACCTTTTGCTGTTTGTTACTTTGTGTTGACTTTGACTGTCCCTGGCATATTTTTCCAGTCTAAAGTAAAACAAGAGTCTCGCTTAATATTGTGTATGTTTAAGATAACAGACTGTTCTTCATTTATAAAGAGGAAAATTCTTTATCACAAGTCCTTTTAAAAAAAAAAAAAAAGAGTAAAATTATCTTGTCAGAGGTATATTGGATATTTTTAAGCTTAAGCAACCCTTGAGTAGCAAGGACTCTGCCCAGGTCTCGGTCCCAGGCTGGTGTGTGGGGACTCTGTGCCCAGGAGCTGCTCTGGGTCTCCAGCAGTGCCTGCCAGATGATGGGAATAACTCTTATTTCTTTTTTTTTTTTTTTTT